CGACCCTTCCGATAGAACTAATCCTAGTCTATGATAATTAGATTCCCTAACTATATTATATTTTTATCCTTTAGATTGTGCCAATCTGTCACTGTGAAAAAAAGATTTTGAAAAGTCTAATTATTGAGTATCTGCAAATTAATCTGTTTGATTTTAATAAGAAAAAAATAAATTAGGTCGATTTCTTTATATTGGGCAATCTTTATATAATGAATACAAAATATTATTTTTGGTAAATTATCTGCTAAGATTGGGAAATAAACATTTTTGTTATGCAACTCTCTCTCTTATATGTATAAATATGGATATTTTACCAAAAAGAAAAGGTATTATTGTCTCCATTACATAAAGACTTCCCCCAAACAGATGGATGATTATCCACATTGTCTCCACATAAGCAATACTTCTCACAATAATGGAAAACATCTCAATCAAAATGGCTTTCTTTGTCCTTTTGGCTTTCACATGTGGTCAGTAAAATATTTTATTCTTTCTCGGAAAACTCTCAATTATATATTTTTACATTAAAAAAAAAAATTATACGGTTGGCCAATGTGTTAACATATAAACCCGGACTCAACACCATATGTTTGTTTTCTTGATGTCACAAATCGTTTTAACTGTATATTAGTATATATATATATTTTTAATAAGAATATGCATAGAATGACATATACATATATATATATATATACTCATAAAAATGACAAATCAGTGGTAATATGATTGTTGTTGTAGTAGTGATGACGTCATCAACAACTGTGGTGGAGGCAAGGGAGATGGTGGAGGAAGCTCATGGGCGCGTGCTTTCAGAGAGTGAGTGTGAGGCCGAAGGTTGCAAATACAGCTGCACCTAGGGCTGGGCATCCGGATCGGGTTAATCGGGTTCGGGTAAATCCGAACCGATTAATCGGGTTTTGGATCGTTTCGGGTTTTGCTTAAATAACCGATCGGTTAGTATATCCCTATAACTGATCGGATCGGTTCGGTTCGGGTAAATAACCGATCGGGTTCGGTTATCCAATTAAACCGAAATTAAAACTTAAAAAATTACGATAATTAATTAGGGTTAATGGTTTTGCATCTGTTCTCTTCTCTCCTTCGACTCATCTCTTCTGAAGCCTCCCTGTGTCGAGTTTCTGCCTGGTCTGCCCTGCCCAGCTCCGGCCAGATCTGCCCAGCTCCGGTCAACTCCGCCCAGATCTTACGCTGCCATACCAACCCTCTACTTTTGTGTTTTCCCTGTCTGTTCAAACCCGAGGGCCGAGATTATCCATCGACGTCGAGTTCTGGGATTTTCCTCTTCGTCGAGCTCTGGGTTTCTCTCCGTCGAGATTTACTGAGTGGACTTGAGCTTCGTGTTATTTGATTTTCTGGCACTTTTCCAGGAATCTCGAGTGTATTCAGTGTTGGACGAGTGTTTGGAGGAAGGGAAGAGGAAGGATTCTGTGTGCACATGCCCATAAAAGTATTCGAAGTGATGATGCCACGTCATGAGCTTGCATCATCTGATCGTCTCAATTCACTTTGTGAAACGTTTTTAATTCTAAAATCAGAATATTTTTGGGTATACAAATATAATATATAACTTGTCCATTTAGCGGCACATGTGTAAATTTAAATGGAATTATACGTAGAATATTTTTGGGTATACAAATATAATATATAACTTGTCCATCTTAGCTGCACCCTTTCTCCAACCGAGCCTTACAATGCCATGTGCTTCTGCGATCGCGGAAAGTGATTTTCACAAGTCGATGGATTCCCGGTTCATGTATCTTATCCATACAGTTCTTTCACAAAAATAGATAAATCTATATAATAAAACGTGTTAGAGAATTTGGTTTGGGGATAGATGGGCCGGGCCTTATTCTTCCAAAGCCCAATAGAAATTGCTGACGTATGACTCATTGACAATTTCAGAAATCAGAATCCAATATGGCGTTCTTTCCCCTGCGTTTCGAATATATTATATAATTTCACATTTGAAATCTAAAACCTAAAAACCAAAATACTATTCTTTCAATCAATCAAGTTGTATAAAAACCATAAAAACCAAAAATAAAAAATTTTATACCAAAAAAAAAAAAACTTATTTCATAGCTGGGCCTCATTCCGTTGCAGCCCACATTCAGAGGAAAGAAACCCCTAATAGAAAGACAAAGCGAAATTGTCCCACATCGATTCTGGAGAGAGGAGAGCCGGACGCCGAGACATCTATAAAAGCCGAGAGCCGTGGACTCTTCAAAGCCATGATCCTTCAGGCAGCGAAAGGGGATATGAGGAGTGGTAAAGATCTCGCGAACTTGATGCGAGAGGAGCGTTCCGCTCCACCCAGCCTGGTTACGACAATTGGGCGCTCCCATCTTTTTATCATCTGATCCCTCTCTCTTGAAAATTCCTTATTTCCGTTTTTTTATTATTTTGATTCCAAATCTTCACAAAATGATTATATTCATTTATTCCTTAAATTTTGAATTTGTGTCGGTTAAGAGTCGTCCGGATCGCAACCGGTTTGTTTCGCCGGTATCTTTCTTTTTTTCCAATGTTTTCAGTCTTTTGGTGAGGCAAAGGTTTTAGGTTTTCGTAGTTTTGTTGGAACTTACGTATAGGCTTATGAAGTCATATTGGTTTTCAATCTATAATTTGCCCTTATGCTGTTCTTGGTCGGGACAAACCGTAAGCCGATTTGTTATGAAAATATGCATTGGTTAGAGGTTTCCCAATCGGTTATTTGGGGACAATTATTGTGGGCTTACGTGTTCTGGTTTGTCGGCGGCGGCGGTTGCAATGTGATGGGGAGCCCTAGTTCTCCAAATCCCCACACGGAATTCTTGAAATATGATGTTTTGTCGTATTTTTTTGGGCTTTTATTTCATGACGGAAATTTCGTATGTGGCCCTATTTCTATTTGTGTGATTTTCCAACAATTTAATAAGCCCACCGAAAAATAGAACTAAGAAACCCTAATTCTTGAAACTTTAATCGTTAATTTCAGTAAAATTCTGTATAATTATTTCACTATTATTGATTTGGAATCTGTTACTCGGCTCTTCAAATTGAAATTCAAGAAATAATTACACAAGTGACTGAATTTTATATAAAAGTGGAATAGTTATAACTAAAATAATTGAAACCGAATATAGGTCTTCAAAATAATTGAGTCCAAATATAATCAAATCAAAACTGATTAACTGAAACTTGTAATGATCACCCTTGTCTGTACATTTGAATATTATATATATATATATATATATATATATATATTGTTCTCCCGATTGGGATTTTTATTATCCGGCGACCTGTACTGGGAATTTATAGTGACGGCCAAAATGAGCATGTTTTTGTCCGGCAAGAAGAATCTCGTGACAGTAATCTAAATAGTGATGTGTATAATCAATAATCATATGATAAAGAAAAACATCCAGCACACGTGGAAAATCAAGGAACACAATTGAGTACAGTTGCGACGTCCAATCCTGACAAAGCTACACAACGTAAACAAGAACGACCAATGTCAAGAACAGTTCGATCGTGATGTAGGACTTGGTCTTTGATGTGCCGCTAAGGAAAGGAATGTTGTTGTTATTATTATTTCCAACCACGTTGTTCTGACTTGTGGTTGTCACAAATGGCTGCTGAGAAGTCGTGGAGGAAGAAATCGGCTGGTGGTTAAAGCCGGTTAAGGGCTGGTTCGAGGGCGAAGCTGGGAAATTGCTGTTGCCGAATCCGTAGACCGGTTTGTTCTGATTCCCAATTGGGTAACCGAGTACTTGTTGTTGTTGTTGAGGACCCACATTGAAGCTCGGAGAATCTTCTTCTCCTGCTGTGGGTAACAATGGTGGGTTCGTGTTGCTTTGCATCATCACCTCAGCCTCGGATGTAATGGAAGACGAAAGAAGGACGCAGAGAAAGAAGACGACGAGTCTTTGTTTCTTGGTTTCGAAGATTTCTGTACCCATCTCGAGATATGTTTTGAGTGGAATGATCAATGGATGGAACAGAGATTATATAAAGATGTGAAAGAAGTAGGAGTTGTTGGAATAGAGACGAAGAAGACAGTTAAGAGAGACAGAAACTGCAGTTGTACTAAACACACAAGTCCAACTAAAACAACTTATGTTTAATACGATAAATAAAGGGCAATGCAAGAAGCAACTAAGATCCGGCCCCGAGATTAGCCTGTGCTTGAAACTTCAAACCACACCACATAATAATCAAAGGTATAAATATTAATAAAAAATAAAATATATAGATAGATGCTGTGAACAACACTCCTCTGTTTGGCAGCCTCCCCTGTTTTACGGATATTATCCACATTGGGAGGGCATGTCTTAGAAGTTTTCTTCAGGAAGACAATTAAGTTGAAGTTCTTTGGATTTCCTTTTAGCTCAAACCCCTATATGAATATTTCTCGTGAAAACAAAAAGTCCATGGAAGAATGAGGAGAATACCTTTGCTGAGGTTTGGGATGTAATAATACAGTGAAATTTTGACATGAAAAGGGTCCTGTTATGTCGTCGGCCGTGTCGTCATGGATGAGCCCCGCCCCACCGGAATAACTCCTTGGAAAGCCTCTCCTGGTTCTTCTGCTTCTGGCAAACCTGGCAAAACAAAAGGCTGGTGTTTACAGGCTTCCTGTTTCCGTTTTAGGACTCTTCTGTTGTTGGTATATGATCGACTTAAGGTCATTTATTTTTATGTTTTGGGTTTTTATTTCGAGTTTGGGTTTATTAGGGTCAGGACGAGGCCCGAAAGTTTCCACCCTAACGATCGGCCGGCTTGTAGGCTGCTAGGGCAGCCTGCATAAGTCTTGCTTAGCATAATAAAAAGGCATCAGCCATTTCTGATAAAAAAGAAAGCCTAGGAGCTTAAAGACCACATCAGGGTTTACCGTTCTTGTTAAGAACGGAATCTCTCTCTTTCTTTTCATTGTTTTGTGTGATAGACGAGTACTTTGGTCTATCAGTATAACTTTGATCTCAAGGATTCGTTCCGTCTATAACTCAACCAGTTCGGCCAATGAGCAATGACTTACCAGCACCTTCTTCACCAGCCTGAGCGCCTGCAATCCCGATGCAAGAATACAGAGAATCCTCGTCCACTTTTAGTTGGTTATAAGCCAGGTATATATCCTCAATAGAAGCAGCTTCGTATAATGAAGTAAGCTCTTTAATGCATGATATGTCCTAAAACCACAACCATCAGAAGAAGGATTTAAGTGAGAAACTCATTAATGAACAATTTCATCGAAAGTAAGCAAGCAAAGTAATCATCACCTTTCTTGGAACAGAGGAAGCTTGCAGGTGAGCTAATAGGTTAAGCCAGTATGCATTAGACTTGAGTTCAGCTTCATGTCTCATAAGAAGAGTCCGCTTCGCCTGTTCGCTCAAAAACAGAAACACTCTCCATGATGAAGGAAAAGATCATACAGTACAATCACCCAGAAGAGAAGTAATGAAAAGTCGAGAGGCAGAAGAGACTACTGACCCTATCCAATTCCCTCGGAGCGATTTGGTTGCTATGAAAACCTCTCAGAACACTCTTGCAGGCATCAACAGCCTTATATACCTGGAATGGGTTAAGAAAGTCTGTGAGGATATCAAACAGTTAAGAGAAGCACATATGATGCATGCAAGATATTAGGCCTGCACCTTGCCAGGGGTTGATGTAACAGATATCACATACCACCCAAGCTTAAGCCTATCAAACAGGTTTAGTTCAAATGATACGTCATATGTCAGTCCAAGGGAATCTCTTACTGTCGTAAAAAGCCTGCAAGAAGTGAGGTGGAAAAATGTTTTAATGAAGAGTCAGCACACACATCCAGAAGAGTGATACGTATGTAAAAGAATGGGCACAAAGAGACTGCGAACATGTTGTGTCTGAGGTGGATATTCAGCAGCCACTATAATTGAAATCAATCAGATGTATAGAAATACAGGCAGCCCGAACTTTCACTTTTTAGATGTTTGAATGCATTCGTTTTGTCATAATGATTCACTTTTATGCCATAGGTGCTAAGCTACTGAGACGAATTAAAACTTCTCTGATGCAAAACTGGGTGATATAGGAGTTCATTTGCTGGAAAGAAAACTAGATACCACAGTACAAACAGTGAAGTGAAGCATAGCTCAAAAATAAGATTTACCTTGAGTTGATGATTTCTGCCAAAAGACCCATTGTAATACCAAAGAAAAGAGGGTGTGCACGGAGTTTTCTTTGCAATTCTCCACCGCTACCCTCTGATGACTGTTCGCCAGGTTGCAAAAGTCCATCTGTAAATCAACCATGAATACATGAATGCACTTCGTCCAAGAGCAACTGCTCAAGTTTTTTTCCCAATATTTTGGGACACTGCTTACAGCTCAAGTTTATAAGCACTATTGAAGCTGCACTTTAGTGCTTTGAAACAAGCTCAGAACTGAATTAGAAGCAAACTTCCTACGAGTATGAAAACTACAATATCGTAAGATTCATGGTTCTTATGTCGATCCCATTAAGTCGAAACTTACCATGAGCAACAGGAAGTTTCCCAACAGACTCAAAAAGATCTTCCCCATCAATGGTAAAGCCCCAACGATTTGGTGCAGGTCCAGCAATGTACGCACATGCTCTCTCGTCAGTATCCTTCAAGAAAACCTGTCAAGATATAAATGACAATTTGCCTTTGAAATATAAAATAGCCAGCTAGATAGCTTCTCACATTCGAATGAATAGGAAACCAGGCAAAAATGAAGAAAATAAATCATTGCATTTCTCCTTGGCTCTTAACCTGCTGAAATTGCAAACCAGCTGATGGTGGCCGGAAAACAATTGGTTCTGACTCTGGTAGTTTGTGAGAATCATGGGTAGGTCTAACTGTACCAAGGTAATCGAGGATGCAAGATTCAACTTCCTCCTCTGAGAAGTCTCCCACAATGCTAACCTGAAGAACAAGCACATAACTTCTTATAAACACCATGCCAAACCAGTATTAGAGAAGTAACATTACCCAGCTCAGGAAAAAAAAAAAGTAATCACACACCTCCATATTGCCCCCAACAAACTGCTTCATGACTGCATCTTTCACAGACTCCAGGCTCAAGCTCTGCAATGACTTGGGTGTTGGCTCAACAAATCGTTCATCGCCATTCAACATTGCGGTCATGAGTTTATGAGCAGTTGCGCGCTCCAAGCTTTTAGGAATTGAACGGTAATATGACAGGTATAGTTGTCGTGCTCGGTCAAATGCATCATCTAACCAGACACTATGCTGCAAGACAGGAGTCACCATTATTTATCATGAAATTTAGAAAAAAAAAATAAGGCCTACATAATGAGTTGAAAAAGAAGATGTCATTATCAAAAGAATCAAGAAGAGAAGAAAATAAGGCATTAGACAGCATTTTGTCATCCTGCAGTTGTTAATGTCGTACCTCAAGTACCATGTGAAGCAACTGAAAAGCTGCACACATTCCATTGTCTCTCAGAGTAAAACGAAACTCCATGGCAAGGAACTCCTCGGTTGACTCCAACGAGCAGTTTATTAAATGATTTACACAGAAAAGTTCCACCTACACAGAATATGAAAATGTATGGGGAATATTCAGCTTACTTACTATCACTCTTCTTTTACAACATATACAACTATTATGTCAAAGTCTAAAGCTTCACTTGCCTGCTCCCTCGAAAAGTTTCCAACTCGACCACCTTCACTCAGAGTCCGAACACCAACAACGACGGCTCCTTTAGAATCAAAAGTTTCAGAAGCTCGTCCACCACCAACAATAAGCCGCATGACACCTGCTCGAGATTCGGTCTTTGAAATCTAAAGTGAAAAAAAGTGAAATGTTAGGGCAGTGGTCCTTGCTATCTACATAAAAGGTGGTAGAAAGAAAAGTTTAGAGCGTAAATCAACACAGAAATTTCCACAGTTCCTTTTGCTTCTGAAAGCATAACTATTTTTCAAGTTTTGTGATTTCTTCATAAACAAAGGACCACAGTTTTACAAGAAAATTAAGAATTACTAGCAAAAACAAGTAGGATAAGACAATTAAAGAAAAAAAAAAGACTATGGGTACAATACAGAAAGTAAAATGCACCATTAAGATGATAAAGAGTAAACCAAAAATGAAAAAGATGAAAACCGTACCTTGTAATTTACAGGAATGTCGACAGTT